GCGGGGGGGGTGGGGGTTTAGGGGGGGCAAGGGTGGGGCGGTGTGAGGTCAGGGCGGGGCAAGGTCAGGGCAAGGTCAGGGTGAGGATCTGCCGGGTGCGAGGGGCAGCTGAGGGCCCGGTAAGTAAAGGTAACGTGAGGGGACGGGGCCTCACAGGGAAAGCTCCCCTTGGGGTCAATGGATTTAGCTCCCAGACTTGTTGATCTGCCCCACACATCCCCCCCCACCCCACACACACACGCACTCTCTCTCTCTCTCTCACTCGCACACACACACACACACACACACACACACACACACACCACACCTTGAGCACCGAGGTGCGCCGCTTCCAGAAGGCGCCCTTGTCCTTGAGCTCCGGATGCAGCCGCAGCACCGCCTTGCGCAGCTCGTCCATGGCGGGGCCCTGGTCCTGCTCCGCAACGCAGAGAAAGGCAGGGAGAAAGACGCTGGGAAAGCAAGGGGGGACACACCGCTGGATTGCGTAAAGTGGCAGGGCAGAGCTCTGGTCCCGCGCCGGGCGGGCGGGCGGGCAGGCGCAGGGGAGGCCAGCAGGCAGCACGGGGCACACTCTGCAGGTGCCAGGCCCAGCAGCGCTGGAACGGCCGCCGCGGCTCGCAGAGGCCGCACGCAAGGGGCGACTGGGAGGCGCAGCATGCACTGCCTGTATGTTCGGGGTTTGACCGCGGGAAGGGGGAGCAGGGAGCAGGGCGGCGGGCAGCACGTGGCGGGCCGATTCGGGGGTGAGTGAACCCTAAACCCTGAGAGTTATGAACACTCGCTCACCGGCGGGGTGGCCAGCTGGATGAACTCCATGGCGCACACCAGCGTCTCGGGGATGCGCCCCAGCGCCTGCACTCATGATTGCGATTATTATTATTGCTAGGATGTAGGGTGACGGGACCCAGACAGCGGCGGCGGCAACCCCGGCGGCTGCCAGCCACGCACACGCACACACGCGCCGGCACCGCCGCTGCCGGCGTTCCGCTCCCCCTCCGCACACAATCCCTGGGGGGTCCACACACACGCACGCACACATCGCCCCTCTCCACACACACACACAGCGGTACACACATACACACCATGACAGACATGCACAGCGTACACACAGCGGTACCACCCACCTGGGATGCCTTGATGCCGTACCGCGGGTCCAGGAAGAGCGCCAGCGTCTCCTCCATCAGCTGGTTGGGGCCCACGTACCTGCGTACCGCACAGCAGTCGCAGCAGGCATGGCAGGCATAACGTGCACGGCAGGCATAACGTGCACGGCAGGCACGACAGGCATAGCGTGCACGGCAGGCTCAGCAGGCGCGGCAGGCGTTGCTCGTCGCGGCACAGCTCAGGACGCGCAGCGGGCGCCGCACAGCTCAGCGCAGCGCGGCAAACGGCAGCGGAGTGGGAGTGGGAGTGGGAGGGGGGGAGAGAGGCCGCAGACAGGCACGCAATGGCAGCGCTGGGAGGCGGGGGAGTGAGGCCCTTGCCACCACCGCCACCAGCATCACCCCCAGCACCAGCACCCCCACCACTCCGTTCAGTTCTGAACCAGCACCGCCCCTCCCCAGCACCGCCACCCCCCAGCAGCAGCACCACCCCCAGCACCACCCCCAGCACCCCATCCCCCACCCCTCTCACTTCTGTGTGCTCATCAGGTACCACGCCGCGATACCCAGCGGCGTGACGATGCCGCCAAACAGCAGTACCAGCAGTATCAGCGGGGCTGTCTGCTTGTCCTTTGAAAAGAACCACTCAGGCAGCGCCACAGACACTGCAGGAGGGCAGAGGGGTGGGGGGTGGGGAGGGAGCGGGGTGGGAGGAGGCGACCGGCAAGGAGGGGGCGCGGCAGCAGGGAGCGGCAGTGGCACGGCACGGGCAGTGCAACCCAGGTGCCGCCCAGACGCCGCCAGCCGGCGCCTGCCGGCCCGCTGGAGTGCTTGCAGATCGGTGGCAGCACCTGTCATGGCCTGGGGGCCGTCTGGGTGACCATACTTTTGATAGTTCTCTCGAGATACAGGGTCGGTCAGCGACTTGTAAGCCTGCACACGGCAGCAGGACGCGGTACGTGATGGGAGGCAGGGTGGTGCAGCGTTTTGCGGTGCATGGCAGTACGGTGTGGTGCGGTGCGGTGCATGGCGGTACGGTGCGGGGCGATATGGTGCGGGGCGGAGAGGTCGGGGCGAGGCGAGGGAGGACGACGGGGCGGGGCAAGGCCGGGCGGGGCGGGGCGAGGAGCGGGCTGCCTGCAGCGGGTGCAGGCTGGCGCGGCCGGGCGCGGGGCGCCGCTGCCGGCAGGAGAGAGGCATGGCATGCGTGGGCACAGGCCTGGCGGCTTGCCTTGGCGACATAGGTAGCAAAGTAGGCGTGTGCCTTGGGATCTGGGTTCTTGTCGGGATGGTACTGCAGGCAGGACAGGTGGTATCGCAGTGAGCGCACGCGCCCCACGGCGGCAGCGGCGCCGCGCATCGAGCAGGGCGGCGGCGGCTGGCGATGGCGGCGTGCCCCCTGCCCATGGCTGTGTTGCGCAACAGCTGCAATGCAGCCGCCCAGCCGGGCGCAATGGTATGGTATGCACAAGGTGCGGCAGGGGGGCACCTGCAGTGACAGCCTGCGGTACGCCTTCTTGATCTCGGAGTCCGTGGCGTCCAGCGGTACCTGCGGTACAGGTGGCGGCACCGTTGCAGTGCGGCAAAGGCTCTATCCTGGTTTGTTTTGCATTTGGTGGTCCCGCCAGGCTGGCTGCCATGCCATGAGTCGCCCGCCGCCGGACCGCTACACGCTGCGAGCCTCACAGCTGACAGATAGTTGTCGGCCGCAAACAGTAGCCCATCACACACACACAGCTGCTGTGAGGAGAGGCGAGGTGTGTGCACCGAGGTGTGTGCAGGCTGGTACCGTATTGTACCTGCAGGATCTGGAAAGGGTCGAAGTTTTCCACCTGCCCCATGCTGTGCTTCACATACCTACAGGCAGGCAGGCAGCAGCAGCACGCACGGGCGGCGGTGGGTGCTGAGAAAGCGCTGCCAGACGGGCAGGCGGGCGGGCGGGCAAACCGTGTTGCAGGCGGCGCACGCAGGCCCGCGCTGCCGGGCCGGCACGGGCAGGCGGCCGCTCATGCCGAACGCGCCAGCAGGCACACACGGAGCAAGCAGCAGGCAGGCGTGAGCGGCCTGGGCGCCGGCGAACGGTTTGCCGCCGTGCATTGCAGGGGAGCGGCAGCCAGGCAGCCAAGGCAGGCGAGCACCCACCACAGCAGCAGCGCCCAGGCCAGCCAGGCCAGCAGCATGCGGGTGGTGCACACGGATCGCAGGTGCGCCACCAGCCCCGCCTTCTTCTCCCCCTTGCCCCCCTTGCTGGCGGACCAAGTCTTGACCACCTGCGGTGGGGAGGGGAGATCACCACCAGGGGAGGGGGCAGGCAGGCAGGCAGGAAGGCAGGCGGGGGTCAGGCAGGTAGGCAGGCAGGCAGGGAGGCAGGCAGAGGCAGGCAGGCGGGGATGCCAGACGGCGGATTGATTGATATGCAGGCTCCCAGATGGCCGACACAACCTCCTGTTACAGCAACGTGCCTTAACAGCACGGTGCACTGGCGGCGGGGGCAGGAAGGCAGCGGCGAGGCAGAAGCAGCGGCAGAGGCAGGGCCAGCGGCAGGGAGGCACAGGCGGAAGCAGCGGCGGAGGCGGAGGCGGGGGGCGGAGGGAGCTACCTCGGCGTCCTCGCCCTCGCCGCCAGACAGCCTCCAGAGTGTGATGGGGATGAGGAAGAGCGAGTACATGCTGCGCAGCAGGCGGAGCAGGCGAAGCAGGGAAGGTGTGGTGCAGGGAGCGGAGCTTGCCGGCGGCGGCGCCAGCGGGTGCGTGAGGGGCTGCGGCTGCTGTGCCAGCGAACGAGACAACCTGCCCGCAGATGCGGAGGCTGTGCCGGGACCCCAACAATCAGAAGTGCAAGCTGCTGGCGGCCAGGCCCGCCAAGATGGAAGGGGCGGCGGCAGCGGCGGCGCACTCACCTCAGCAGGAAGATGGCGAACATGGGTGTGCTGCCGTGCGTTTCCACATTCTCGGCCATGGTGCCTGCTCACTGCTGGTGCGCGCAGCGGGCAGGAGTGGTGACGCTTGGAACTGCCGCCCGACTGTGACCAGCGTCTGCTTTGTGCGGTCCGATCGCACTCCCTGGCTCTACCACACCGCTCTGCCACCAATACAGGCGTCCAAACTGCAGTGAGCGCCGCTGGTGCACAGCAGGCAGCAGGGAGCTCCGCTCAAACGCCTGCAACTTGCCACCAATGCTGATGGGAGCCCGAGGGGCGCTTGAGTCGCCCAGAGGCAGGAAAGGGGATGTATTGCTCGAGTTCAGACAGTACACTTTGGAGGCCCGGTTGACCGCCTCTCGCCGTCCGGGCGCCATCCAACTATCATAAATTGACCACTGCATAGCCAAAGTCTCAGACTACACGGGTAGCGATGGAGTCCCGCTTCCAAACTTTGCAGCGGGAGCTGCAGACCGAGGTGGCCGCCTTCCAACAACTGCAGCAAGGTACGGTATCGGTGTCCTGAAGTGCTAGCGATAGGAGAGCCCGGCCGATCACCTCCTCCGCACCACATCCCACCCTCTCTCCCCGCTAGCTTTGGCTCCCGCCCGCAGGCGTCCAGCAAAACCACCGCCTCAGGCAGCAGTCGCTGCAGCAGCAGCACGAGAACGAGATGGTGCTGCAGGTGCTGCCGCCGCCCGCCTCCTGCTCCCCCTGCCGCTGCCGCCTGCAGTTGCTCGTGGGCTGTTTTCGCGCTCGGCGTGCTTTGCCTCGTTGGATTTAAGCACACCCAGCAGTCTGCTTACGCACTGCGCCTTGCTCCCTCCTTCATCTCGCTCGACTATTCGCCCCGCCGCCGACGCCTCTGGCACCGCCTCTGGTGCCGTGTGTACCCTGACAATACGGTCTATCTTACACCCGCAGGAGCTGGCGCTGCTGGCGGAGGACGCCAACGTGTACAAGATGATCGGGCCGGTGCTGGTGCGGCAGGACACGCTGGAGGCTCGCGCCAATGTGGGCAAGCGCCTGGAGTTCATCGCAGGTGGGGTTGGGGCTGTGGGGCAGGCCGGTGTGCGGCTGGCGGCAGCGGCTGGGCCGGCGGCCGCCAGCCCGTGCGGTGCCTGGCTCTCGCCTGGGCCTGCTGGCCTGGCGTGCAGCCATCCCCCGCAAGGCCTGCAGCAGACCAGCGGCGCGCGGCCAGGGGCATGCCCAGCGGGCCCGCCAACCGGCCCGCAGTGGCGGCCCGACAGCGTCCTCGGCACCCGGGAGTCGGCAGTCCCTGGGGCTGGCTGTGGGGGCGTGCTGCGTTGTGGGCCCTTGAGACACCCGTATAACTGCCCCTTGTCCCTGTGCCCTCCTGCGTGCCGCCTGCAGGCGAGCTGAAGCGGCTCGACACCCAGCTGCAGCAGCTGGAGGAGAGGCAGGGCAAGAAGCAGGCGCAGGTACGGGGCGGGCAGCCAGGGGCTTGCTCAGCGCACGGCACCTGCATGCAGCTCGGATGCTCTTGTCGGGGTGTGTGCTCCCTGCTGTGCAGCCAACCGGGTTGCAACCAGTGATGACACAACGCCTTTGGTGCTACCCTCCCCCCTGCTGCTGCAGCTGGTGCGCATGCAGCAGGAGCTGCAGGGCGCGCAGCAGCAGCAGCAGCAGCAGCAGGCGGCGGCTGTGGGCGCGGCCTGAGCGTCAGGCCTGAGCGGCAGGCCTGAGCGGCAGCGCCCCCCGCGTGCATGCTGGACCCCTTTGTGCTGCCGCCTCCCCGTCATCTCCTCTGCTGTGCGGGAGAGTTTCGCGACACCACCAAGCCCACCCTTTGGCGACGCACAATGGCTGCCTGGTCACAGAGCGGCTGCCCGGCACATGTTACAGGGGCGTGCAGAGCCAGGGGGAAGCAGGTGGGCAAGGGTTGAACAACAGGCGGGAGCAGTGAACAGGAACTGGCAGGGACAAAAACAGCAGGCGACGAAACAGCGCGGGCGCGAGCGCGGCTGGACGCAGGGCGGGATACCAAATATGGGCAGCCGGCAGGGCAGGGCAGGGCAGGTGCCGCAGCCAGCCAGGGCCCCGGCGCCACACACCGCCCCACCACACCCAGTAACTCCCTCATGGGCTGGGGCAGCACTCCTTGATGGCGATTGGCGGCGCCGGCCGCGCCACGCACTCGTGCAGCGGGATGCGCAGCGCGGCGGCGCGTCCCCGCACGCGCTCCACGGTACGGGCGTCTGCTGACAGCAGTACCTTGGGCTCCAGGTACCACACCTGCCAGGCAGACAAGGTGCAAGGGCAGGGGCGCAGGGCAAGGGCGGGCCGGGGTGAGGACCAGGGCGTTAGGCACGGAGGGTGGGAACACACAGCGCGCAGCGGCGGCGGGAGCGGGCGCAGCAGCCACACGCTGCCTTCCTGCCAAGGAGCCCAGCCGGCCAGCCAGCACTGGCCTGCACCTGCTGCGCTCCCCCCAGCCCGCTCCTGGTGCGGCAGCAGCATGCGACGGCAGCCTGGGCAGGCAGGCGCCCGCCCCCGCACCTCTCACTCGCACACACTGGCGCGCACACACCCTCGCACACCCTCGCACACCTGCTCAAAGTGCTGCAGCACGGGCAGCAGCATGGTGGGCACGCCGAAGATCTGGAGGCCTCCCAGGGACGGTACCGCCGCCTGTACCACATCCAGGCACGCGAAGAGATCCTCCTGTACCGGGTCGTGCGGGTCGCGCACCCCCTTGCTTACGTAAGCCATGCCCTTGTAGGCGTAGTACGAGCGGTACGGCGTGAGTATCGCCACGGGGGGGCCAGCGGGCACAATGTGACTCAGCCCCGCCAGGGTATCCCGGAAAAAAGTGGGGCCCACGCGGTCCAGCCAATTGGTGAACCCCACGCCGTGCGCCCCTGAAGCCACCGTCAGCTCCACAGCAGATCTGTGCAGGCTGGGATCTTTGATCTCCTCAAACGCGCCCTCAAAGAACACGGGCTTGCCGTACGGCTTCATCGCGCTCAGCAGCACCTGCAGGATAGCCGGCGGAGGCGCAGGCACAGGTGAAGGTGGAGGTGGAGGCACAGGCACAGGCACGGGCACAGGCACAGGCACAGGCACAGGCGAAAGGGAAGGTGCCTGCAGGACTTCTGCAGGCCCAGCCTCCCGACGTCCTACGCCCAGCTCTGGACCACGGCTGGCCAGACAACCTCTCGGGGCTCACCGCCCGCCGGCTCCCTCCTCAACCCATGACCCACGCCCTGTACGGGCACACCCTCCCTCCCTTTATTTCCTTTTGCTTTTCCTTTCTTTCCTCGTCCACCTCACCTGCACGATGCGCACGTCGTTGGGCTGCAGCGCGGCGGAGATGAAGTTGGAGTCGACGACGACGTAGTCCAGCCAGGGGGAGGCGGCCAGGGTGAAGACGGCCCCCGAGGCGTAGATGGCATCGGTTGCGGCGAAGAACTCGCCAAAGTGCATGATGCAGCGCAGGCCGTGGGCGGCCACGTGCTGGCAGCAGTTCTCGTGGGCGGCGTGGATGCGCTGGTGGCGGAAGTGCTGCCAGTCCCAGTAGGCCAGGTCGGTGAGGGAGTTGTTCCAGTGCGGGCCGTGCATGTGCAGCGGCGGAGGGCGGAAGCCCGCCCAGTCAGCCCAGGAGGAGCCCCAGCGCGCGTTCCAGTGTGAGATGGCGCCGTGGATGCTGCGCAGGTACTGGCGGTACAGCGCCACCACGTGCGTGTTGTAGTCCTGGAACGCGTCCCGCTCCTGCGGTGGCGCATGCGGCGCGGGCGCGGCAAGTGAGTGGCAAGAGTGGGGTGGGGGATGAGGCAAGTAGGGAGGCAGGCAAGCGGGACAGGAAGTTGGGAGCCGGCTGGAAGCTGCCGGGTGGCGCATCATGCCGGCAGCCACTCCACCGTCCCTCAGCACGGTTGGCCCCTGCCCCAGGCCTGCTCACGCGGCCCACCACAGCGGGGCGGCTGTAACACATGCCCATGTCCCACCCTTCACACCAACATGCCCCCCCCATCCAC